GATCAGAATTGGAGCTATCGTCATGATACAAATACATCATAAGATCAAATGTCTGCGGTGGATTAGGGTACGGCAAAGCCTCCTCTGAAAACCTATGAGGGACTTCATCCACTGAAGGATCGTCATGCCAGTCTTCTGACTCTTGTTGACCCAAGCTGGAAGGACCCTGTACATAAGCGGTGGCCACATCCCAGCTTAATGACCTACCACCACCACTGGTCCAAAACATCCTCCATGAGGAATGCACCACGTACTCAAAGGTGCGAGCTACAAACGCAATCATGTAAAGTTCGATAGCTCTATCCCCTAGATAAGCAACCAGTGCATCACCGCAAACCGTCATTATTCTTCGCAACACGTTATCCAATTCATCCCTAACCCTCCAGAAAATCCTCCTACCCCCGGTAGCTGATATCATCCTTGAGAAGGACTCTGGTGAACCGGAATCAAAATCCCCAGGCTGAACATGCGAGCTCATGGTAGAGGCAATAGCAACGGGAGGCTGAGACGAAGAGGAAGAACTCCCCCCAATCTGAACATTAGGAGTTGACTGACGGTTGGACATGGAACTAGCAATCTCATCCGTCCTTCTGCTTGACGGCTTAGGCAACGCGGGATCTTGACTGCTCGTGCTCCCCCCAACCTGAACATTAGTACCCGGGGTCTCACTATCCCTTACCTGCAACCAAGGGGGCAAACCACCATATCTCATTCGCATGACGGGTGGATCCACAACACCTCCTTGCTGAAGTTGTCTACGAAGCCGAGCCCTTTGAACTAATGTTAAGCCGGTGAACTCTTCCCGAATTCTAAGGAAGTCCACATCAGAAGGATCCTCATGAGCCCTCATCAGATCCCCTTGAGATCCCACTGCATCTACATGTGACCCGGTAACTGGCTCAACTGCTGGCCCATCCCCATTATGAGTTGCTTCCTGACCTGCTGTAACATCAAGACCCTCACGCAAGTCATCCGCTTCTCTTAAGGTGGGTTCCAAGGTGGGAACAACCCTGGGTTGCGCATCCTGATCAAACACTTGACTCCATTCCTCAACACGCCCCATCTCTCCATGAATCCCTTCCATGAGGAGACGAAACGCGTTATCCAGAGAACGAAACCAAACCCCCAACCCGAATAAGAGCAAACCCAACAAACTTAAACAACCCAAAAACCAATCAAACCCCCTTTGTGGTTCTAAAGGTTGGGCTGAAACCGGCTGGGCCAAAGCCAAAGCGGATAGCACCAAAAGCGTCGCTGAAGGGCAAACCCCAGGGAAACCCTGCTGGATGGCCAGGATCCTTCTTAGAGCCCTGGCAGCCGACCCAAAAGATTCTTCCTTAGCCCCGAGGCAACAAACTAATGATACGTCCCCCTCCTAAGGCCTTAGTACCCAGATCCGCTATTTGATGTTCCCCACCTAGGCGTTGAACCGTCAAATTCCCACACTGCACCCTTTCTCGAGCCGCTGAAGCTCGCATACGAAGATGCCGTGATCGCCAAGAACCTGCTCCGTCCTCGAAAGAGCGTACTGAAGCACTATTGTCGCCAAGCAGAACTATCGTCGAGTCGTCCTGAAGGAGTTCATCAACAACCGGTTGAACACACTCAGCAGCCTGTATGGAAGAGACCATGGCGACCAGTTCGGCCTCCGCGCTACTCAGCGTAGTAAATCCTTGACGTGTAGACTCCCACAGTATGCAGGTACCCCTCCATACTATGACAGTGCACTGGATAGACCGTGCTCCTTGAGGAGCATGACTTGCGTCTGAATAGACCTCAATGATACGTTCGCTACGCGGTAAGGACAAGTGTCCGTGACTTCCGAATTGAGGACCAAAATCGTAAAGAAAGTGAATACCATAATCGATGGTATAGTTGAGGTACGCTAGAACTCCCAAGCCCAGCTGACACACGCGGCCAGGGGCTTTTGTGGCCCATTGCGCAAGCCGCCCCACCACAAACATGAGGTCGGGCCTACTTCGCGTCATAGACCAAAGAATAGCGCCAACTATACCTTGCGCTCGCTTGATAGCTTCTGCGTCTATGTCTTCTGGCTCCAGTTCCTCCCATCTGGCAATGGGCGTGGTCTGGACAGCCGACACTTCGTATCGTTGTAACAACTCCAAAATATAAGAGCGCTGGGATAAGCGCCAACCAAACTTGAGCTGCTGTAATTCAATGCCGCAGAAGGTTAGAACTGCCTCATGGGTCGACCACGCCGGCGTCGATGTACTCCACTTGGCGCGAATAGCTTCTACTACAGCAGAGGTTGCGTCGGAACAACCGAAAACCCCAAGGTCGTCCACATAAACGACCAAAATGGCCCAAAGTTGGCCCTCAGCATCCTTCAAGAACCATAGGGAATCCTCAGAACGAGCCTGGTGTAGTCTCATGGAACAGCCGCGCAAAGTGATGTCCAGGGCCCTCAACTCACGGTCTCTATACAAAGACCACGCCTTAGGTGAGGATTGCAGGCCGTATGAGGCCTTCACCACTTGCCACCTATCATCGGCCTGCAGAAGGCCTAACTGCACTAAGAAGTGCAGAGGCCGCACCACAATGGTGAAGGCGTCGTCGGTCTTCCCATCAGATCCCAACGCAGGCGCGTAAAGGAATGCGCTCTTTACGTCAAGTACGCAAGCCTGCCACCCTGGCCGAGCAGAGATGAAAGAAAGTACAATTCGAACGCTCAGAGCATCAATACCTCCTGCATAAAGAGAGTTTTTGTCAAGACCGATATCCTGGGCTTGCAGGTAATTCCCGCAACACACGGCACGCAGTCTTCTGCGTCCTGTTCCAGACTTCCTTGTCAGCACAGCCTTTCCTGGGAGCTGTTTCACGTTCTTCCCTTCAGCAATCCAACGATCTACCAAGCCGGCCTTAATCCGAAGCACCGCGCCTGTAGTAACCTCAAGAGATTGAATTTCTTCTTGGCCAGCCGGAACCCA